CCTTGTGCTTCGGGGGGTTCCCTTTCCAGTCAGCAAAGACTTCAGACACTGCTGCCAAGGGATGCCCAAAGCTGGCTCTAGCAGCATCCAGGCCAGAAGGGCAGATTTTCAGGAGCATCTGTGAAGTCTCTGCACAATCCCCCCAACCCACGTGCCCCTGCGCACTTGAGACATCCTTCCACGGCAGCAGGGACAGCAGCAGCAAACCCACAATTTGGCCAAATAGAGCAGAAGCTTTTTCCTGGACCCACATAAGGAGTGTGTGTGTGTGTTCTGCTCTTGCTTCATAGCCCCCCCTCACTGGAGAGCCAATTCTGCAGAGCTGGTTTCACCCAGCCTCCAACAGCTGGTTAAATAGGTCCTTGAATTGCACCCCGTGTTTCTTCTTGCATAGCAAAAAATGGAAGCCACAAGCCTCGGCATGGCCATTCCTGGCCTTCCTCCCCCAGGTCCTCTGACCCTTTGCCCGATGCTTCGAGCTCCTGGACATTCTACCTCTTGATCCTCGGCTCTGAGGGAGCGATGAGCCTTTGGGTGAGGCTCTCCAACAGCAGACACACAACCCCCGGAAGTCAGGCTCATCTTTAATTCATGTTCAAAGCCTTCGCCACTTCCTTCCTGAGAAGCCTTCCTAGAGTTTCCAGTCTGCTGCACCTGGTTCAGGGATCCCCATGCGCAAAGCAGCTGCTCTCAGGGTACAGCTGGGATTTGCTCAGAAGAGCCAACCTCCATGGCTGGAGTTACATGGAGCTAGTCAACAGCATCTTGGCATCTTCATCCCACAATTCAAGACTCTTTTCAACAGCTGAAGGAGGACTCTGCCATGGCTGACCTCAGATGTTCTGGAACCTTCCATTCTGCAAATAGGGTTGTCTCCCATCAGCACTGGCTGAGATGTCCATCCAGGACACTGCTTAAGTTCTACTGCCACTCTCTTCAAACTATACATTTTGGGGAGATGACGTCCCCCAGCTGTCCCCTTCCAAGGAGCTTGCACCAGGATTTCCAGCTAGGGTAGACTTTCAAAGGGATTTCTAGCCCTGTGAGTTGGGAAACAGAAGATGACAAGTTGGGGAAGAAGAAACATTGGAAGGCTAACATGGAGTGGATAATCGCCAGGTTTGGGGGCATCTTCAAGGAGGCCATTTTCCCCATCACAGGAGGTCAAGGCCAAGGAGTCTGTTCCAGCTGCTGCATCCCTCCTTCTCCACGGAAATCAATCTCCTTTGAAAAAAAGAAGCCTCTTCTCCTGTTCCCTCATGCCCAGATTAAGATGGTGGTGAGTGACACATTTATCACCTCCCTGGATTGATGGGTGAGAAATCTCCAGATGACCTTCCCTTGACAGATTTTGCCAGGCAATAAACGATGGGGACTGTATCTGAATTTTTTACCTCCCCTTTATTTTATGGCTCCCTGCCAAGTGGTTATGATATGGAAAATGATCTTGTCCTTTCTCCATTCCCTATTAATAAATCTCAGGCAGAACATTAAGATAACACCAGCCGGCAAGAGACATCTTGGTCCCTGTCCAGGGAAAGAAAGATGCATCTGCTCAGAGGGACCCGCCGATGGCAGAGACGGGAGCAGGGGAGACTTTAGGCTGAGCAAATAACTTAAGGGAAGAAGGTGGGACACCTTAAGTCCCAGTCTCCTCCACCCCCAGATGAAGTCTGGGTGAAAAGTCAGGCTTTGCAGTCTCCTGCATAGGACAGGGGAGTCTCAGATTTTCAGCAAGTGCATTGTGCAAAGAGGCACACAGAACAACATTTGTCGAAGAGGACCAGGGGCTCTGCAGGGACCAGGTTGCTCCCACAAGGATTCCTTTGGTCCTGGAGCGCCAAGAAATAAATATTTTAGGTCTTGTTGCCCTCAGGTAAAATCATACCCACCATTACATATTACAGAGACCTACTGATAACAACATAATAAACCTCCTCAACAAAACAACAGCGAAAATGGGGGCCTTTCAAGACAAAGAATTAGGAGGGGTCGTCACAGCTACCTGCCTTCCCCATATCACCTGCCCATTCTGCCCAGAGAGACACTCAGTCCTGCAAAGGGGATGCAGCCATTTACCCTCTGTATCTGATGGAGAGTTGCTTGTTTTTGTGAGATGGATGGCTATATCAAGCGGATGATTAAATAAGTCAATCCCAGGAATCTTCATGTGCACCGTTGACAGGTAGGGTCTTGCAAGTCCCACCTACTGCTGGTGTGGAGATGGTGATCCCTTCTCTACCCTAGTTCCCTAGATCAGGCTCCTACCCTAAATGCATCTCATAAATACTGTAAAATGGGATTGACAAGAAATGTAAGAATAAAAGCAAATCATTTTGCAAAAATATTCTTGTGTCTTGCCAGCAACTAGCTTGTTCCTTAGCTCTGTTTGTGCCGTTATGCCTGTCTTACTTTTACAGATCCAATGTCCTGAGGGCAAGCCTTCATCTCTCTCTCTGCTGAGGGGAGAAATCCAGACTTTGAGCAATATACTTTTTTGGGGGAAAGATGGTCGGTCTCTAAAAGGCACCTTCCATCTCTATCCCACTATAGAACCAGAGCCAGCAATGTTAATTGGGTGTCACCATGCCTTACTTATACAATTTGGCACACGGGGTGGCATTGACAATGGCTCACACCTGCTATTATCATCAGTGCTCCCAGCTTTGCCGTACCTGTGAAGCAGACTTTCACACCAGGCTACCTTGTTACAGATGCTGACTTATCCTCCTTGGGGAAGGTCAGACCTCCTAAACTTTCCCTCCTGGATGAGGATGAGGCAGGCGGTGAAGAGGGTGGGAAGCAGATACCCCAAAGGGAGGGGGAACACAAGCAAGGGTCTTTGGGAGTCCCCCCTATCCCTACCCACCCCAAAGGGACAGATCTGCTTCATGCTCCTTTCCTCTCCTCTGTCTGGAAACAGAGGGCAACTGTAGTCCTGGCAGGTTGGACCTGCAGCCCTTGGGACCAGGCTGTGCCCTTCATGATCCAAGGGTGATGCTCTGGCTGTTGCATGCCCTCCTTTGAGAGCAGCACCCCTATGGTGCACACCCCTTTTGCATGTTTGGGGGATCTTAAAAAGGCAGAGAGAGCCATTGTAACAGGAATAGGATCCACCAAAGAGTTGGTTTTTTTTTTCTTGTACAGATACATCCCATTATTCTGGGCAAGGATGCATTTTCCTCTTGGTTTTCAGGAAGAGGTCAAACAGGAAGATCCACAGAGCCAGGGTGGGGAATCCATAGCATAAGCATGGGAGTAGCCCTTAGACTTGCTCAGCTAGCTTTTAGTCCATCATGAAACCCATCTGAAAAAAATCTCAGGGCATCATGCCTGCAGATGGCAGGACCCTGATCACATTCTTGCCAGCACATCTGTCTGCCAGCCCAGATCTTCCTTTAATCTCAACCTCCACCGCATGTACTCCAGATGTGCTGCAACACAGTTTCCATCATTTCAGGTCTGCATCTCCACACATTTTCCATGGTGAGTGAGGTGCAAACTCGAAGGAGTGCCAGAAGCCAAGGGATGTCACCCAATGTGTGAACAGCTTGCAAAATCAAAATCCTTCCTTCCTTCCTTCCTTCCTTCCTTCCTTCCTTCCTTCCTTCCTTCCTTCCTTCCTTCCTTCCAAATTCTCTTTTGGAGATTATTTGACAAAGATGGAGAGAGATCTTCCATCTCTCTTGAAAACTTCTTATCAGGCAGTTTGAATTCCCTGAGGTCAAAGATATCTTTTTAATTCAAAATCTCAAGCTCTTCTTTATTCTTCTGCTTCCCCTCCCCAAGGCTGTTCCAGAAGCCCGTTTTGACCTGGAGATGCCCTATTTGCTTACAAATGGAGAGAGAGGCTGGACCTCCATCTGGAGACCAGGCTAGGGAGGGGGCAGTGGACAGTTGCATCCCTTCCCGAATCACCAGGAATGCAAATGGGGGCAGAGAGGCAGAGCAGGGCACAGCGTGGGGAGACCTTGTTCACTGGAAGGGCTCCTGCAGCATTGCACACAGAGAAGGCAATTAGTTCTGTAGCAGCAGAAGAGGGAGAGAAGCGGGATCCATGCTGGTATCTTACATGGTATTTATGTGTTAGTGATCATTATGACTTCAGGAACAGTCAGTTCGTCCCCAGTAATATCCTGTGTGCATTCTAATTCTAATCATATTGCTATTTTTTTTTATTGTCTGCAACATGATTTTGCTCTCATACTTCTGTGCAAGCCTCTTGAGTTTTGGGGTTGCGCTTTGGGGCACTTTCTCCAGCAATATAATATCTTTTTGGAGAGGAGGGGGTGAGAGGCGTTCCGAATATTCCAAGGGGTGCATGATCAGGAGAGAGAGTCGGGAGAGGTTTATTTCAAATCCTCATCACCCTTAATACAAGCCTTGCAGACCTCTGCTGAGAGGACAAAAGAGAGGGAGGAGGAGGAGTCCACTGCTTCAGGTGGCTCCACAGAGGAACATCCAAAAACAAATGCCTCTGAATAAAGGGCAGCCTTGAAGGAGCAGCAAGACCAATAGAAGTGGCCACCATTCAGACCACAGACCTGATTTCACCCTTCTCGGATGATCTGAGATCTGATGCTAGACCTAGGTGGGCTTTAGGGTCTCCTCTGCAAGCCAACCTCCAAGGAAAGAACCAACTACATGGCACTAACTTCCTTTTTGAACCCCAACCCCAAAGTAGCTGCTTATCAAGGTTACTCGTGCCAGGAGCCAACGTGACTCCACCGTGGGCTCCCAATTGCCAATGTACCCCAAGCTCTTCTTCATTTTTCTTCCACATGTCCATTTTATATGGGGTTGCCCAGACTTTAAAGAAGGCTCAGCTCTTTCTGTGGCTCAAAACATTAATTTGTTTACTTCCTTAATGATTTATAGACCAGCCATTTTCCAAAGGACTCCACCCACCCCCTGGATAGAGCTAAGACATTTGTCCATTGGATTACGTGTCACGTCCAGTATTTTGCAGTTTAAGATGCCAGGTTCAGCCATAGGTAATGGGATTACAGTTCCTGGAATTAGAGTTTCCATCTGAACAATTCCCTTCATCTGACATTCGTCAAGCCACTCCATGCATTTGAAGAAGCTGCAACTCACAAACGCTGCTGCCTTTTAATAAATGTTGATAGCTAGAAAAGCTGCTACCAAGTTTCTCCGCAATATTTTGCTACCATAAATTAATCCAGGTCTCCTCCTACAATTCCAGCTGGTGGCTCTACAGGAAAAAATATTATTGTAATCATAATTTATAGTCAGTCTGTGGAATCTTCTTGCAGCAGTTAAGTATTATGATTATATACCACAATGTGAAAGCATAGGTGCCTTTAGCTGATGTTGGCCTCCATACACACCGAGTTCCTCCCAAGAATCGAGTATGTCGTAATTATCGGCGTAGTCTCTGGGCTGATCCAAGCAGAGCGGGGCCTTTTGGAATTGATAGATGGAAATGTTGTCAATGCCCAGATTTTCTAAGCGCTGTCCAAGATTTTGGGGTATGGCACCCAGTGAGCTGATAAACCCTGGGACCACCACAGCCAGTTTATGCCATGATCTTTCAAGTCTGATTTTCTGTGATGTTCTCCAATTCTCTGCCATCCGTTCCACTGGTATTTGCCACATCAATGCTCTACGCTTCCTTCTTTGCAGCCACAGTTCAATCCGATGTGCTACGTGCCAAGACTTTATCAGTTTGTATTTGGAACTATTATTTGTACTTGGTGAGTCTTCTCCAATCCAAGCCAGCAATCCCTGCCTGTACGGCCCACCGTTCTGCTAACTCAGACTGACGAATGCTGATGATGGTGATGATTAAATCCCATCCTGCCTTTGTGTCCTCCTGGCCCTTTGTACCCTGGCAATCCACAGGGAACCAACTTGAAGGAAGCTGAACTTCCCTTTTGCACTTGGGTTTTTTTCCCCCCAAGCTGTAAAGCCGCAGCACTGAGCAAGCTTGATCCCAGGAGTTATTCCCTGTTTGACAGGAATAGGAAATGAAATGGTTCTGCAAAAGCACAATAAGGTAAGATCAAGGCAAAATGCTTTTTTCATTCCTCTGGTCTCTTTCCCTTCCTGCGGTTTTATCTGCATTAGAGTTCTGGAGGGTGGATAGCCGGATCTCCAGAGATCACGTGCAAAAGAGTTGAAGGTGATGGGTGGTGATCCTCTCTGTCAAGCCAGGGGCTTGCAACTCTCACTCACACCCAGGTAAGGATTCGGGGTGGGGGCTCTTTTGTACTGGGACCTCCAGCTCCCTCGTCAGTAGTTGGAAAGGGGGGAACTGCAAGCAGAAATCAGCAGCTTCCTGGAAGATAGAGAGGAGGGTAACCTTGAATCAGGGCCGCAAGTATTTTTGCCAACAAACTTGGCAGGGGATGGATGGAGGAGGGTGGGATGACCTTTTTTTGCCACTTATCCCAAAAATTGTTTCTTAGGAAGGAATCAGGAATAAGAATAAGGCTGTGGAATCCAGATTTCGTTCAGAAGGTGGAGACTTTGGACAGCTGGGGAAAAAAGAGAAAGAGGGCAGATTAGAGAGAGAGAGAGAGTCTCACTTAGGGAGGAAATGTAAAAAGCCAGTCCCAGCTTCCTATATTTATAGTTTCAATACCTTAGATAATTAGCACTTCCCTAGATAATTAGAACTCTCCTTCCTTGGTTACTTGGAGCTAGCAAACCAGGTGTTTGTTCTGGTGACAAAGTTCAGGGTTTTTGTTTTTGCCAGTGCTTTTCAAGACTACCCTCTCTTGCTTGGAGACCAATGGAAAAGCAATACTTGCTTTTGGACAGTCTTGCAAGGTCCTGTAAACCTTACAATAAAAATACAGCTAGGATTCATTGTTGAGCTTCTCGTCTGGACTACCTTGAAAGGTTAACATCAGTCTTACAAGACTTTCTCTCCTCCTCTCCCTCTTACAAAACCAGGAAGGGTCCCTTTGGAGATGCTTCCCACCTCTCATCTCCTTCTGTGGGCTGAGATATCTCTTACAGTGGTCAGTTGTCCAGTCTGTGGTTCTTCCTTCTGTTTCCCAAGGTCGTCTGCACACGCTGTTGCAGATCAACAGACCAAATCTCAATTCGTGCAGTGTCTGAACACCCCTACTGGCAACAGAAGCCCTGGCAAAGACCTTCACGCTGTGGGTGGCATCTGCCCACCATACAATCACACCTCACCAAAGAATTCAAAAAGCCTCCTAGATGCCATTCACAGAAACTTTTGCCATGTGTGGCTCTAGTTGGGAAAGAGAAGTAACCAAGACCCACAAATGGAGGGAAACTGGAATTAAAGACAGATTGCTAAGAATTTATGGTAGTGCAAAGTGGTTATGTTAAATCCTATAAGCAAATCTGCACTTGTAGAAGGATGCTCCAAACTGTGTTATGTTGGAGCATTTAACACAACTGATTGATGAAGCTGAAGGCCTCAACGTGGCCGCCCTGAAAACACTGTTCATCCTCACCTTCCGATGGGTCGTTTATACCTCCACTATAAAACTGCCACATCAGGTGCTGTTCTGTGTGAAGAGGATGGTGCCATTTTCATTGCTTCTTTAACTGTGCTTTGTTTTCAGGCCTGTAAATCAGTCTGGATTTTGAGCATTGGAAAGACAGGATGGGACACTTTTTAAGTATAAACAACTACACCCGGTAAGGATTTCTATTCCCATGAGCTGAAAAAGTTAATTGCTTTCCCCAGATAAAAGGGCAATATACTGAGATGTGAACCAAGGGCATACAACTCATGGTTTTTACCCTTCTAATGCTAAATAATTTGAGAATTGCCTCAATCAGTACAATAGGTCTTGGTCTGTATATTTGACTAAGCTGGTAAATACAGATTGTATTTTACAGCTGGTAAATATAGATTGTAAAATATGATTTAAAGAATAGCATTATCTGCACTCCTGCACTATAGCAAGCCAAACGTGATTTACCCCATGCATGGACCAAGGTTATATATTATTCACTCAACAGCACAGTGTAAAACCAGGCGCAACCGTATGATTCCCCCGTGTTTGGAGGCTGAGATCACAAAGAGATTTAGAAGCCTGCTCAACTTCAAGCACCCTTTGAGACCTTCATGCTGTGTCTTTCCTGCCAAGCGACTTCTCAGACACCCCAAATAGCATCATTTCGAAAGACACATCATGGCGACGTTAGCCGTTCTGAAGAAATTAATTCTCAAAGAGCAGAGTTGTCTCCATACCTTTGTGAATCTTGCTTTCTGTGCTCACAATCAAAACCGAAGAACTAAGAGATGCGAAAGGCGATCCAGGTGCTTTAATTGTAGCTGAATTCAGGCATGGATGTATTTTTCCTGACAGGAAATCCATACCTTGAGTGGAAAGTTATGGAGTCGAATTCTCTGGTCTCTACCCTGGCCTGAAGAAACTCATTCCCGCAGAAGCTGTCAAAATCTGAATTGAAATATTTTTGATAACGGTTCAATAGGAGTCCCCAGGCGATCCCATTTCTCAGGCGTAATTGGTGGGAGAAGACAAGCTATTAAGCTTCAAAGTCTACCTAGGATGGACTAAGTGGCTTGCGAGTCTTCCTAGTGAAAAGGGAGGCCGAGCGATGTGTTTCCTCAGCTCCCCTTCTCTGCAATGAAGGCCTGCTTGTCTTCAGGAGGACAGCTGGACTTGGCTGGCCGTTGGCAGATGCCAAGCCAGCCGCACTTGGAAAGGCAGCGTTGACCTTCAGACTCTCCCCACAAATGGTTGTTTCGGATATTGCCATTTCCATTTTGTGGTACCAGCCTGAGAGCTGAGAAGATCTGATGCTTATTAGCCACTGCTGATGCACCTTCCCTGGTGAGAAGGTCACACCTGGCCAAATAGCTGCCCAGAAGGTGGTCCCTGTGGCTCCTTCATCTCCTTACAAGCCAGCTGAGGGCAAGGCCTGCTCCATCCTCCTGAAAAGGACTCCAAAACCCATTTCTGTTATATCGGAGACTCTTTGGTTGCTCCAGGGTGTGAAGGCATTCCTCCGATGGCTCTTCTCTCCCTCTTGTTTCTGCTGCTGTTTCTAGTCCCCAGGCCTCTTTTCTTAAGAACCAGGAGCTACTGTGGGCATGGATTTATTGACTGGATGGAAGCAAAGAGGACTCAATAGGTGGATAAAAATGTCAAATCCAGTCCAAATATCTGGCTGACTGTGAGGCAAACCAGAATAATAATAATACAGCATAAGCCATCAGCTAAAGAACAGGCAGCTATGATTTCACATTGTTGCATACAAAATACATCCCCTTTCTTTTTCAGAGGCACCTCAAAAAGCCTCTCCTGAAGGAAGTTGTTAGAAAGAGAGACACTCATTCCCCAGATCTGGCTAAAGCATCGTCCATCTCCCACTCTTCCAGAGAGGTTCAGCTAGGGTGGATTGGATAGTAGCTAACGGTGGGGTCCATTCATTTCTCTGAGGACCCGGGCTTCAAGGTTCACTTGCACAGCGCCTGTTGTTATCCAAGCCAGCTCTTCCGCTCTTTTGGAGAGCTTTACAAATCCCTTTCCTGCCTGGCTGATTCAAGTAGAGACAAGGCAACATTGCTTTGACACAGAATCCTTGCATAAGCAAAACAAAAGCAAAAAAACAACCATTGGTTTTGATCTAGTTTGCAACAACAAATTGCATGAAAATATCAACCACACAAACTCCAGCAATAGGGAGGATTACTTCGTTTTCATGCAGACGAGCTGAGTGGGAGCGGATGTTTTAAGTGCTGCAAGAGTGGGTGAAAGGACAAATTAAAGACATGCATTCCCACTGGGTCATGGCGGTGCCTCCTTAGAAAGCAAATTGACAGAGCGATGTTTGAGGCGAGATCAGAGAGGGAATCAAACCGGGGCTTCTATTATCCAGAGGCCGATGGAGCCGGAGATGCAGCATGTGGCAGATGAAAGGGGCTACCCATGTAATGTTAACTCAGCCAGCAATGAGCTGAATGAGCCAACAAAGCGGTCCAGCCTGGAGGACAGGAACCGCCGTCAGGTCAACAGCCTGACCCTCCCTCGGCCTCAAAGGTTGAGGGTGAATGCAGATCCAGGGAGGGAGGGAGGGAAGGAGAGGCAGTGGCAGAAACAAAGAATTAACCAATTCAAAAGGTGCACTTGGAGAAGGAGCCTTCTCTTGCCGCCTGCCCTAAGCAAATACGCCCAGAGGTACAGGAGAATCAAGCAGTTTCTGATTGCGGATTGTATCAGAATCTCTTGGCCCCCCCAAAAATAACTCCCCTGTGAATGAAACTTTCCTTTAAAAGATTTGGTGTCCCTCAAGTTAAACATTAAACCCCATTTTCTTCCCATTATCTTTATTTGATCCCCCTTCTTTTCTTTCCCACATTATCGTCTGGCCACCTTCTGCCACAAGCGTGTTCAGGAGAGTGGAAGGTTCCCCTTCTCTGGCACCGAAGGCGGAGAAGAGCTGTTCCCGTCAGCCCCCTCTTTGCTAACTTCGAAATTCACCAAGCGTCGCCCAAAGCAGCCAGGCAGCTTAGAGCCTCCCTCCTTGCCTGGCTGGCCTGAGGAAAACATGTCTTCCCTAGCCATATTGCACGAGGAAAGGAAGAGATGAATATTTGATGACCGTAATTTCCATGATAAATAATTTTGTATAAAATGCTGCCACAGCCTGTTAAATTACGTGCATTATCCTCTGCTTGTTCGTGAAACAATTCCACTCTCCCAACAAGACAAGATGGAGGATGGAAGACAGAAAATCCTGAGAGTTTGGCCATCGTCCACTCTCCACCGCCCAACAGATTAACTCAACTGGATAAAAAAAACAAACCAAGTTAGCACATATTGGGGGTGAAGCGAAGGTCTCTGTTTGGTTGATTCTAATGCAGGGGTAGGCAACCTTGGCTCTTTTATGACTCGTGGACTTCAACTCCCAGAATTCCTGAGCCAGCATGATTGGCTCAGGAATTCTGGGAGTTGAATTCCACGAGTCATAAAAGAGCCAAGGTTGCCTACCCCTGCTCTAGTGCATCTTATGTTGTCTCCTACTATTTTTCTTATTCTCAACTGATCAAGCATTCTTGACATTATGCTTCATGCGGATACATTTTTCTCTCCCTTTTCTCTCCTGTCAGTTTGCTCTGCCTTTTCTAGTTGCTACTGAAATATCTCCAGCCTCTGAATTTACCTTCCCTCCTACTTCATCAAGATCCTTGCTGGCATCTTCCATGGATGTTACTTCGGGGCAGGCCACGCCAGAGAAGAAATTCCAGGACAGGGACTAGTTTGAAATCCCCTGCAATCATGCAGATGTGATCAAGCTTGATGGGGAGAGATGCCAAAGCAAGACATCCTACAATTCCGTGGCAACAGTGGGCTGGATGTGAGTGGAATGATGGAGATGCAAAATGGCTCATCAAATAGCTGCCTTCCAGCTCTGGGTCAAGTGAGAAGACAAATATCCTCTACTTGTAAAGTCACCAGTAACGTGTATCACTATTTAGAAGAAAAAATTGCAGCCTTTCCAAATTCTTTGATGCAGCTCAGGGACAATCTTGAATTTACAGCATTTTTGTCTTGAAGGAAGCCTGCTTGAGGAGCGCAACTCCTGGAACTGCTGGAATATCTTGTCGGCAGGGTTCCTGTACTGTTTTCATGCATCCTGTGAAGATTTGCTCTTGCCGGCAGGGAGAGCCTGTTTAATCCCTGAAATATTTATATCTATTAATCCAATCTGGAATACAAACGAGCAGCGTTATTAAGGAGGTTTTTATGGTTGGGTTGTCAAACAAGATTGTTACATCTGTTTAAGCAGCAATTTAAAAGCACTTCAGGCGCTCAAATCTCTCATCACCTCTCCCCAAATTTATCTTGTGGCAGCCCTCTTTCTTCCAGATACCGAAGCCACGGTTTGCAGGGTTTAGAGGGGCTGAGGAAAGGGGGCGTAGTCCAAGACTCCTGGAGGGAAGAGGAGAAAGAAGCTTGGCATGGAAAAAGTGGGGGGAATCCGGACCCCAGTCCACACACAGTCCACCCCTAGGGGCTGTGATGGCCTTGAAGTAGGTGCTTTCTCTCCATTAAAAGGGTGGCGGAGAAGGTCACCTCCAACATGGTGAACATTGTAAGGCAGTTGAGTTGGAAACCAAAATCTCACCAACCAGCAGCAACCATTTGGGTGGCAAGGCAAGATCACCTCCCTGGTAATCCCCTCCCCTCCCGCTGTTGGCTTTGCTGAGAAAATATCCAAAGTGAGACAGAGTTGTGTGGGTTGTAGTCTTTAGGAATATTTTTACAGAGCTATTTCCCCCCCCCCCAAAGGACCACCACTGCAGAATTCACATGGGGGACATCAAAAGCGACGGAGGAAAAGGGTGAAAGGTGATTAAGGAAGGCGATGGAAGCAATTTCACTTATTCGACTAAAAGACCTTGCTGATTGCGGCTGGATACTAGAAGCTGCACACCCATGTCGTTTTCCTAGCCATAGGATAGAAAGAGTTGGCACTGGATATTCCTGAAGGTTGTGTTTGAGCATCCTGACAGCAACCCTAACCCTTTCCTATCACACAAAAGCAGGACAAAGGGGCCCAATTTTTGATTATGGTTCCTTTGAATCAGTAAGATGAAAGGATCCTAATTGAAAGTTATGAACTATCCTCTAAAATGCTGGTCTAATGCTGGTTGAGCGACAGACGTGGCAGTCTAGGACTAAGAGAGAGGGCAGCGTCTGTATCTAAGGGAGGACCAGAACCTGGGTTATCTCTGCTCCTAGTCCATCACCTTAACCATCATCGCTTGCTCTTAATTTTGCACACAAATAAACACACGCTGGACAAATTGATCTGGCTTTTGGTGTTACCTCCCAGGAATGAGATGCACATTTTAGGGAAGCAGGATCATCTTCAGCCCGTATTTACCCAAAGAGACACCACACCAGAAACAGCATTTCTTACATGCAAAGAAAGGGAATCATCTCAGCCTCTCTCCAATTAACCAGGGGCATCTTCTTAGTTGATTAAATTAGATTTAATCAATTGATATCGCCTTTAATTTGCTAAGCGCTTCCACTTGAATTTTTGCCACAGCTTAGCAGGCAATGCAGGCCCTGCAGCCCGAATATAAGTAAAAGGGTCCTTTTATTTATTCAGAGGCTGCATTAACACCTTATGCTAAACCATCTTGTGTCTTGTGTTCATATAAAATGCTGACCTGGAGCCAGCTGTGAATTGTAAAGTTATTCTTGGAAGGCCACGTGGCTTCAGCCCAGCTAATTATTAATGGGACTATTCCATAAACCATTGTTTAACCAGCCATGGCTCGGGGCAATGTCAAAATGGCTGGGTTCTCAGCCCCCCCCCCAAAAAAAATACAGAGCATTTGTTCAGCAAAATTCACCTGATTGGACCTTCTCCATATCGGCTGTGCAAGCCAGACGGACGGCTCTCTTGGCCCTGCAGCATCGCTCCCGTCCGGTAATTGCTCTCCCTTCAGAAGCCGCAGAAGGGAGGAAAATGTAGCCCATTGGAAAAGACACAAAACGGTTGGGCTTCTTACTCCCCAAGTCCTGAATAAGGGGAGGCACTTGGTCAGTTGCTACACGCAGAGGCCTCTTCTTGAAGCGTCATGGAACCCAATTAATGTGCCCTTTTCTCTTCCCCTCTCAGGCCATGGGTACCGAAGGTGTGCAGCCTCTTTCTCCTCTGTCCGGTCTTGCTTTGTCTGTGGAGATTCTCAGTCATCCAGCTCACCGTGGCCCCAAAGGTGTTTTTTTCAAAAAGCAACTGGATTTTCTCTGTTTTTCCTCGAAGATGTTTCGCTTCCTATCCAAGAAGCTTCTTCAGTTCTGACAGAACTGAAGTCAGACCTGAAGAAGCTTCTCCGATGAGAAGCAAAACATCTTCAGGGAGAAATCAAAAGAAAAAGCACCTGTCTTGCTTTCTATCTTTTTCCAGCAGCCAGGCTAGGATTCCTGGATATTGCGAGGAGCCACGTGGCTCATATCCGTGGCCAGCTGGAGGTTGGGCAGGGTCATCTGTCAAGGGAGACGACCCTAACGGGTTTTGGCAATGAGAGATGGACTTCCATAACCAGATGGAGAACTCAGTGCCCGGAATCGCTTCTGGGCATCCTCAGTCTAACAGAAGAAGCTGCACTTGTCAAGCTTCATCCTGCTAGGAAGATACTGAAAGAAGAGATTTCCCTCCGGGCTGGGAATTTGTAGGGGAAGATGGTAAGAGAAGGAGTGCAGATAAAAGAAATACCTCATTCAACATATATGGATCTTTTCACAACTACAAAAACTGGAGCTGTAACTTCCTTCAGTTTCAACAGAAGAGAAGGGCTGGCCATGAAATCCAGGAAAGGCTCTGTGGCTCTGATTAAAGGAAAGTAGCCTCAGATAAGGAGCCACGTGGAGGAGGGCAGCCAAAAATGCCCTTTGTTAGTGGGCAAAGCTCCTATTGTGGGGGATCCATAGACCTGGCACAGTGTCCTGAAGAAAGAAAGGGCCCTCAAATATTGAAGAGGACTTTCCTTCTGAGCAATTCTATGCAAAAGAACTCTGTCAGGCTTTGAAAGGAAGATGCCAACCCAAATTTCAAAAGGCACCACCTTGGAAGAGTCTTTGTTCTTCTCCCTGTCTCCAGATCCCTCCCCAATGCAAAACCCCTTTGGCTTCTCAATCGTTCAAGTGTAAGCTACCATTTTGGGGGTACAGGGTAGTCCTCAAATCCAGAAAGATGAGACAAGCTATGCCCAGTGCTGGGCAGAACAGAGCAGGAAACTCCCAACCAAGAGAAAAGAAAGATAGAGGTGACATGATAGCAGTGTTCCAATATTTAAGGGGTTGAAGAAGAGGGGTTCAGCCTGAAGGCAGGAGAAGAAGCAATGGATGGAAATGTATCCAAGAGAGATCCAACTTAGAACTAACTAATTTCCTGACTATGAGAACAATTAGTGGAATGAGTTGCCTCCAGAAGTTGTGTGTGCTTCAACAGTGGAGGTTTTTAAGAATAGATCAGACAGGCATTTGTCTGAAATGGTAAGGGATCTCCTGCTTGATCAGGGGGTTGGACTAAAAGACCTTCAAGGTCCCTTCCGTTGTTCTGCTATTCTGTAGATTCTACCTCAAAATCCAAACACAAACACACTTTTTCACATCCAAAATGTACTTATTTGTTAGAGCTTTGTGGCTTGATCTACCTGCGTGTGATCCCAGTCAGTGCTGGTGGTTGGAAAAGTTCTCCCAAGGAGACAAATGCCATGCCAAGATAGACTTGAGGCCTAACAGGGCAGCTGGGCGGAGGAGAATGAAGGATTGTGCCATCTTGGAGCCCAACTTTCCTACTCTGCTGCTTTTCAAAACTGCATATAATCCCCCTTCTGCAAGGCTCTAAAACCTGGTCCAGTTTGAGCCGAAGTAAATCTGGAGAAGCTTCACAGTGGTACTTTTTCATTACCAACGGGGAAAATAACCTCCCTCTGCACATTTGTGGAAGGCTGCATTTCTTCCCTTTGCTTTCTAAGTGTTTGTATGACTAATAAGGTGTGACACAGCTAAGATTTGCAAGCATTTTTCCATAATGTAACTTCTTCCAGCTGAAGAAAAGAAGAAGCTAAATTTGGATGCCAGCAGCAACAGGAACTTCACAAGCAAACCGAAGCTTACAGGCCAAGACTTAGGTTATTGCTCAGAATTTTCCCCTTTTAAAATTTTGCAATGAGCATCACTATTTTTTTTTTAAAAAAAGTATAGAATTGAAACGTACAAAACTGCATATATTCATGAAAATAATGTGCAAGAATGCATTGTACGAAGGTAATGGTATGTGACAACTGTACAGAAGTCAAAACCGCAAACCAAAATGCTTGTTTAGAGAATGAGGCACCAAACATTACTGTGAACTGTAAAAGCTCAACAGATTTTGCTGGATCACAAAATGAGAAATGGAGAAAACTGGATGTTGTCACGCATCCCTACAGAAAATACTGCTACAAACAGATGACTTGGCTCTAAGAGCATCAAGATTGGAACTGAATAGGAGGAAATACACATTGTTATCATTGTTATCTTTGGTGATGAGAGACCAGGGAGAAAACCTAGAGGTAGCATAGCATAAAATCAGCATAACATAAAATCACCTGTCAATCAATGCTGCAAACAACCATTCAACGTATGGCAGGAAGGAATGAGTAGGCTGTTGGTCAGGAGTGGAGTCTTGCTGGCTTAACAGCTCCCTAAGGAGTTTGCTTGCCCCAGCCTTATCACATACATCATAGTGACCAAATAAGCTTGGAAGCCAATTAAGAGCTGGTGCAGAATTTATAAGATGGAAATTACGTGGGTCTGAAAAATAAAGTATATTGAGAACTTAACTTGCTAATCACAAGCCTCAGGACGTCTCTGTCTAGCATTGCAATGAAGCGTTTTCCCGGAAGACTCCACAGAAGAAGGGCTAATCTCTTGGATCATCGCCAGTCTGGGGCCTCCTCCAGATGTGTTGAGATGGCAATTCACACCATCCCAAGCCAGCTCTGGCCAGGCTGCCTTAGAAGTCCATCTGGAAACCGGAGCCTCAGTACATCTGGAGAGGGCCAAGAGCTGCAAAGTTTTGAAGCCTTTCCCATCATGTATTTTAGATAAAGGGAAGCAGATCCATCAACCCAGAGGAGTATCTTTCCCTGCTTTGGTTTTACATTTTTTTCAGAACTTGAACCAGAGTTTGAATCTTCTGTTATTTTGACAGTTTCTGGCTATAGCATATTTAGCTGCATTGGGGGAAGAAGGAAAAAAAAACATTAAATTATTAGCTTGTGTACAACACACTGAGCTTAAACACAATCCAGCCTGTCAAAAGAAATGTCTTAATTAGCGAGACGAAAGCCGTTTTTCTTGACACAGCTTGTCAAGCAAAATATCGTACTTGGAGGGAATTTAAGCGAATTCAATTGTAGGAATTTAATAAGGCCTCATTCCACTCCCCTTGCAGGGAAGGAAAGAAAGAAGAACACCACCACCACCATCACCACCACCACCACCACCGCGTGGGGGGGGGGTTGGACCCCTTGGGGACCTGCCTTGGAAAACAAGCGGAGTCTGTCTCTTGAAAGCAAAGTTGCGGCTGAATCAAGGAGGGAGGAGGGCTCTCCGGGACCTCACAGGAGATTCCTCGGCTTGAAAGGTTTAATTAATTGAATTAGCAAACTTGAAACAACAAGAAAAAAGGCCTTCTTTGTTTTTTTAAAGATACCCTTAGAAAAAAATGTAAATTGAAAGATTAATACATTGTCTTTACTGGGGGGGGGGGGCGACTTGCACCTTAGAAGTGGAAGAAAATGCTAGCAATTATGCAATGTTGGCTAACATTTTCCAAGATCTTGGAGATACGGTTGAAAGTGCCTTGAAAATGTCAGCTCAATTGTGCCGCAGCCATGGTAGAAAGGCAAAAAGTTAGTGGTTATTAAGAAAGGGAATCTATATTGAAATACCAAGCTCTCCCCCTCATCCCCCCTAGCGTAAATGCCAAGTCAAGAGATTTGGGAAGCATCAGTGGTAGCTTCTTGAAGGTCTTGATGCCTCGGCTTGCAAGATGAGTTTGCAAGTGTCCAAACTGACTGATTCAGCCCGTACATCAGGGGTCTCCAACCTTGGCAACTTTAACACTTTTGGCCTTCAACTCCCAGAATTCCCCTGCCAGCATTGTGTAAATCATTGCATCCACACACCCTCACTATTAACCAAAACTGTTGAGAGGATGCGAGTGTTGGAACAACTCAAGAGATTTTTAATTCAGACAGGCTTCCAGGTCAAATCCTGAC